ATATCAGAAGCCGTACCAATAAAAAGAAGAAGGCGAACACAAAACAACAAACTGCCAGTGTGGTTTAATCAACAACTAAAATATTTAAAGAACAAAAAGCAGAAACCACACAAATTATACAAAAAGGAAAACACTAGCACAAATTTACAACACTATCATAGCATATTCAACCAACTCAACACAGCCATTAACACTTCACATGCCCAGTAACGCTTGGTACATTACCTTCTCGTGGTGTGTTACTGGCATTAAGATCTACAACCGAAGCCTGATTCGAACTACTTCAAACGAGGGGAACAGAATTGTTTTGTAATCTAAGGAACACATCTTAGTCCTTTTTACTTTGTATGCCTTGTTAATAGTGAAAAGACTCGGGAAAAAATATGTTAGGTGGTTATTTTTCATCTACGTGATTCCTAATCTTTTATTCGCTGTTCTCTAGTTTGAAGTGGTTAAGACTAGGATTCTGATGCATGGTCATTATCGGTATTATTGCTTGATTTTGTTGCTAAGGAATTCGTTTTTGACTACAAAAGGGACACGGGGTATACCACAATAGATCAAATAACTGGTCGCCATAAATCCGAAAATGAAGTCAAATCATGTCCTAAGAACTTTTTCAATTAGGTAAAAACGAAATTGAAAAATAATAATTTTCCGTCACGAATGCATTTTGATGGAAATGTAGTTAAATATTCTTCTGAAATCTGCAATATCTTTGCAAATTTCTTTCAGGAAGAATACACCACATTTTCTGAAAAGACCGCGACCGCGACTTCTTTGCATTCATTCCCGAAGTCTCTAATGACATATCTGTCAATCAAATATGTTAACATGAAGTCCTCAATGCACTAAAAAATTTGGACGCATAAAAAGGACCAGGACCTGAAAAATGGGAAATTCCATGAAATTTGGAGATTGTCTCATTTGGTGCCTATTTTCAAATCAGGCGAGAAATCTGACATCCGTAATTATCGTAGAATTGCCATTATCTCTTGCATCCCAAAAGTTTTTGAATCAATCGTAAACGACAAAAAAATGTCAGCAAGGAAAAAATTAAATTACAAACAAACAGCACGACATGAATTATTCCGTATGGGTCTGGGTTGAACATTGTCGATTTGCTAAAGGAGAACAGAACAATGAAAAATATCTGCAATTAACAGTATTCGAATATGGAGCGAGACAAGGAGCAGTACAACGGTTTAAGGCAGTAGATATCCGTGAAGTCTTTGGCAATCCTGAAGATAAACCCTAGAATTCTGGAAGCTTTGTCGACGGCGTGCGAGATGTGCTGCTTAAAAGAGAGTTTTGTATCCAGAATCACGCCTAGGTCCTTAATTTGGCTGACGCGCTCAATTTCAGTGCCTAAAAAAACATTCAAGTAATAGTCACTTTCTTGCGCGAAAAAGAGATAACCGAGCATTTGGACGGGTTAACCTCCATACGATTCAGAATCCACCAATTAGCAAAAGCATTCAGCTGACGTTGAAGGAAGCAACAGTCTTCAATTGAGTGAATTCGGAGGTAGAGTTTAAGGTCATCTGCGTAAGATAATCGTGGTCTCTCAATTACCAGATTCACGTCATTGAAATAAATCAGGAAAATCAGCGGTCCCAGGTGACTACCCTGGGGTATGCCGGACGTTGCAGCGAACATACGGGACTGGTGATCACCAATGACAACCGTAAGATAGCGATCGGGGAGGTGCGACTGAAACCATAGCAAAAGGCAGCCGTGGATACCAAGCCTGTCCAGTTTTACGATAGATATGCGGTGGGGTGATTCAATTTATCGAATGCTGCAGATAATTCAGTATAAATAACATCCGTCTGAGCACGATCCGACATACTGTTAGAGATGTAGGAAGTAAGGCACAGCAAGTTAGTGGCAGTGGAGCGACCAGCCATGAAACCATGCTGGTCGATACTAATATATGGCTTACAGTGAGCGAGTAACGGTTCCATAACAAAAAGTTCGAACAATTTAGCAACAGCGCTAAGCGAAGTGATGCCACGGTAGTTGCCAACGTCCTGTTTGCTGCCTTTCTTGTGTACTGGAAACATGTGCGTTAACTTCCAACAGGAGGGGAAAACGCCAACGTCCACGGACCATTTATAAACGTGCAGCAGTGGAGACAACAAACTGTCCAAGTGCATTTTGAGGAACGCCGATGGAATGCCGTCAGGACCCGGATTGTACGACGACTTGAGTTTTGAGGAAACCCTGGAAAACATCTCGGGATTGATATCAATTCTGCTCATGGTTTGGCCAGAGAGTGGTACGTAACTGGCAGCCAGTCGGGCATGGTCGTCACTCGTCCGTGAAGACACTAGCAAATTTTTCAGAGAATAGCTGATAGATATCTTGCGTAGATGAGGCCACGTTACGACGGCACACTGACTTCAGTAAAACATTTGACTGAATCGACATACCATTATTACTATTTAAATTGCAAAAAATAGGAATGGAATCTAGACTTCTGAATTGGCTCCAATCATACTTAACGCAACGCAAACAAATAGTTCGTTTTCAAAATAAACTTTCAGAACCTACACCTCTGGGGTGCCCCAGGGTTCTCATTTAGGAACTTTTGAACTTTGTGAAATTCAAGTTTACACTGCAAATTGGCCGTCAGGGTGAATGCCGTGTATTGGCTGAAACCATGGACGGATTCAAACGTCTTCTCAAGTATCTTACTGAGAAGCAGCATATTTTTTTTACTTACGACACCAAAACTGAACGTGTGTTCAAGGTTGTCATGAAAGGACTGCCCAGTGGTGAATCCCTGGATCAGATCAAACATGAACTGGTAAAATTACTTGGAGTTGTGCCACTCCAAGTAATCAAAATGAAAATGAAATCCCGTCCTGGCGATTCACGCAACGGGATTTCTAATGATTTTTATTTAGTTCACTTCAAGTCAAGTGAACTAAACAACCTTAAGGCCTTAGAAGAAGCTAGCCTTATGCTCCATGTCCGAGTGAAGTGGGAACACTTCAGGAAGGCTGGAGGAAATTTCCAAAACCTCACTCAGTGCCGTGATGGGGTCACGGAACATTTTTTTATTTGTATTGGAGAGGTTTACTAAGGATAATATAAAAGTTAATTTTGGAAAATGCCATTTTTTTGTATCGGAATTCAACTATTTGGGGCATATTATCAGTGAAAAGGGACTGAGACCGTGTCCTGATAAAATACTAACGATAGAGAAAGCAAATGCAAAAAATGAGTCGGAACTAAAATCGTGTCTGGGGTTGATAAATTATTATCATAAATTCATACCGAACTTGTCTGCTTAATAACATGATTTGTACAATTTACAAAAAATAAATGTGAAGTAACTGTGGGATGACAACTGTCAAAGAGCCTTTGTAGAAAGCAATAAATTGCTGATTAACGCAAACTTTCTAGAATTTTACGATCCTAAGAAGCCGAAAGTTGTGATCTCAGATGCTTCAAGTTATGGACTAGGTGATGTAATAACTCATGTGATAGAAGCCAATTAGTTTTACTTCTTTTTTATTGAATTCAGCACAATATCCGATTCTACATTTGGAAGCTTTGGCACTTGTTTGCACGATAAAAAAAATTCACAAATATCTTTATGGACAACATTTTCGGCTTACATTTTACGGATCACAAGCCATACGTTGGAATATTTGGAAAGGCGGGAAAAAACTCGATACTTCAGTCATTTGTTTTAGATGTGTTAATTTATGATTTTGAAACAATATACAGGCCTTCAACAAAATTAGGAAATGCTGATCTCTGTTCCAGATTTCCTTTACAGCAAACTGTTCCGGAGGAATTAGATTCAGATGTACAAAGCATTAATTTCAGTAAAAACCTCCAAATTGATTAAAAATGATTGCTGATAGTACGAAGAACGATGACTTTCTTCAAAAAGTAATATTTTTTATGCAAAATGTATAGCCTGAAAGAGTGGAAAGCCTTTTATTGATGTGTTTTCTAATTATTTGGATTTGGAACTAGTTGACGACTTCTTATTGTATAAAGACAGAGCTATTATACCAAAAATATTTCATAAACAAATTTTAAACGTTTTGCATGCAGTAGTTAAAATGAGAGACTCATGAGTGCATACAGCCGAGAGCAATACGCAGACAACGATATTGAATTCGTTCCAATTTTATTAGGTGACATTTTCTTGCCGAGAGAAAGCAGAAAGAGCCGTACTCTAGAACAGAGAGAATAGTTGTTTTATAAAGCTTTATGAGGTCTCCTGGATGAGCACCCCACCATGTACCGTAAATTGAACGGAGAAAGTTGATCCTCTGCTGACATTTTTGCTTCAAATACGTAATATGGGTATTCCAAGTGCACTTTGAATCAAACCAGACCCCAAGGTACTTGAAAGACAATGATTGAGTAATGTTTCTGTCCAAAAGATTAAGCTACATTTGGGCTGGGTACCGCTTTTGAGTAAACACTACCAGTTCAGTTTTCTGCGGCGATAATTCGATCCCTAGATTCCTAGCCCAAGACGTCAAGTTATCTAAGGAACATTGCAATGGTCCTTGCAAGTTCACGACATGTGGACCTCTTAACGTCATCTGCAAGTTGTCTTAGCGTGCATTATTCTGCCAAACAGTTGTCGATATAAAATATTTTTTATAGCAAGTGAGTGGAAGCAACCCTGCTCCGCAGTAATTAGTTGACTATTTCCACTATTTTTGCACTAACCAAATAAATTCAACTTGTAAAATTAAGAACATACTAAAGAAGCTTCTAAACCTCATACATAAGGGACTGTTCATAAACTACGTAGACTGGTTTTGAGAAGTATTAGACCGCTTCCCTGCGTAGAGAACGTAGACGTTCAAACACCTGTATGGAAATTTGTATTCACTGGAGACACTTGCTAATGTCCCCCTCCTAAAATGTCAACATGGTTTATGAACAGTCCCTTAACTAATTTATGTATTCAAAGGAACATTATCTTCTGTATTTGATTAATATTCAGATATTCATCCTACCTGTGTGCCTACCTGGTTGAACGCTTCCAATCTAGCTTTAAGTTGCTCTTCCAGGTCCGGCAGTTTTGAAAGTTGAGCTAATTTTTGATCAGATAATTCCAGCTTCTCTTGAATGGCAGAAATTTTGCCTTCTTGCAACTGCAAAAGGACATACAAAACTATAATTTGTTCAATATTAATAAGTTCAAGACAATTCACCTTTAGTTGAGCTTCCTTGTGTCGAAGTTCTTGTTCTAATTTTTCGTTAAGATCGTGCAAAGATGTGGATTCTCGTTGTGCATTTAAGTAACGTTTTTCCAAAGTTGCTATCCGTTCTTCCTGGTCTTCTTTTTGTGCAACATTTTCACGAAGATCTCTTTGTAGTTTGACACACGTCTCTTGTGATTTGGTAAATTCCTTTTGTGTTTTCCCAAGATTCTCTTCCAAATCGCTAATTTTATTGTTTAAATCCGATACCCGGCGTTGCCACTGCGACAGTTCAGCAGTCTGCAAAGAGATTAAAATACCAACATTGTACATAGTTCTATATGTTTACTGTGGGGAATGTATGGAATAAATAAAACAGGATTATTCAGCGTTTGCGTATTTCTCATGATAGGAATAATAACATGCTGCATTTGTTATGCAAGATGGAAGGACACCGGATGAACTCCTGTTCCTGACGAGATGGAGCCTGTCTGAAAAGACAAATAAAAAAAAGAACTCCTGTCCCAACTGTTCCAGTGTTCTGAAGCAACATGAAAAGTAACAATAGAACGAAGGACAAATACAGGACGAAACAGAGGAAAGGTTGAGGTGTTTGAGAAAAAGGTGGTGTAAATGGATGTAACGTCCATGGAGGCTAAAAAGAACAATGACGAGGAAGCAAGCGATGCCCAGAAACAATATCCGCCTGTTTTCAAGCATCGAAATGACGCCTAATATTTTTTTTAATTTTATATGAGCGTACCTATAAAAGATGAAGTATCGGCAAAGTTAGAGTCGGTGTATAATGAGTCACGCCAAGAGAAAAACAGTTGAACTCGCATCACGGGTTTCGAAAGATTCCCTTTCTTTTCACTTGGCAACAGAGGACTGCTACATCAACTTCAAATGACTTCTAGCGAGCAAAAAAAAATAGCAGCTGTTGTAAATCATTATATCAGTGATTTTGTCCAATCATCTTAACAAAAAATAGTAGAAATTCTCATTACTGATCGTTACCAAACGTATCCCATGACAATTTAATGTTCACTGCGTGTTTATGATCATTTCTTCAATTATGTTTTAAATTTTATTGCAATACCTTTCGTGGACCTTTCATAGCATCGTAATGTTTGTTTACTTTGCACGATAGGTAGCCGGTTTGACAGTTCAATAGGTAGACTTGGCTTCACTCTTGGCGTGACTCATTATACACCGACTCTAGGCAAAGTGACTAACGCTGGAAAAGCAATAGTAAATGAAAGAAATTTGGGAATAAAAACATGTCACCTCCCAGGACAAATAAGAACGCATAATGTATCTCACAATTTTTTTAGAAACTATTCGCGATTATTCCGCTCTGTGGAGTTTTTTTTTTAATTTAAGCCCTTACTAAATAAACAAAAAGAGAAAAATACACTCATATACAGTATCGATATAATCCATAGCTTTCCAGTTATGATTCAAATATTTTGCTTGAATCGAAATGTTCTCTCGACCTGTAGAAAATACATGATCAGCATACCGAAGGCAAGTGAAAAGTTTCAACCAAATCAAAAAGTGGAGAGTTGGGAAGTTTAATCATTTGCCTTAGAATAGTTGTATCGCTGTTAATTCTATATTACACTGTAGTTATTCGAAAATAAATAAATTAATTAATTGAGTGGATATACAATATACACACCTGCTTTTCAATTATTGTTTGTAACTCGTGAGTTTTTGCCAAGTAATCTATTTGCTCTGAAGTGTCACCATTGGCTAGTGTTTCCTGTTGTCATCAGCGTTGTTGGATGAACATAAAAATAAAATAATATAAATATTGTTGTTGATGAACAAATATATGAAAACATACATAGGTACAATCGTTTTAAAACAGTACAAAACATCGCCTTGTTTGGGAAAAATCGCAGAATTAGTTAAGCCTCTGAATACGGGTAGTTTACATTACTGATTTTGTGATTGTTCTACATTTTGAAATTATACGCGTAATTGAATGAAGTATTGCACCGGTCTCGAAGAATTAGAATCATCCAAACATATGGTTGGAATCAGGCATGGAAAATCATTTGCATTCATTTCATACATTCATTTACATTCATTTGCCTCTAACTTTTTTTATCAACAGCATTCCGCAAAATGATGTATACAGCTTTTGTAGGTTTTGTTATTAACTACAAGTTTTGCTCATAACTCAAATCTGTCTCTCTTATGCATCACGAACTAGAGCGGGCAGTACTTGTCACTGTTTTTCAGTGAATGTAAAATACATTCACTGAAAAACAGTAGTGTCTTCTGTTCGCTCTGCTTCGTCATGCATTAGAGATACGAATTTGACTTGTTAGCAAAAGTTGTAGCTAATAATAAAATCTACAAAAACTCTAAACATTGTTTTGCGAAATGCTGTTGAAGAAAAAAGTTAGAGGCAAATGAATGTAAATGAATGTATGAAATGAATGCAAATGATTTTCCATGCCTGGTTGGAATAACTCTGAAACTAGGGGAAATGGCTCTAATGTTGGCCTATGGATCTAAGATTTGGCCCATCGCTAAAAATCTGCTATTTATCAATTTTATCTAGATGAACGCGTCATTGGGCCGGTACTAATGGATATTTTTGATCGCTATTGGAAATTTAGTCGATTGCTGAATTTATGTATGAGCCCAAATTAGGGACATTAGCTAACATTACATCCATTTCCCCTATGTTAGATATCTCATAGTTGAAAGAGATGATTGAGTTGCCATAGTTGCTAGTTATTTAGAAATTTCAGAGTTGCCCACATTTTGTTGATATAAAATCTTATATTGATCCATTCCACAGAGTTCTTCATTTCAGATTTTCAACTGCATTTCTAGTATTATCTGTTGTTATAACTTTAAATTGAGGTTTACTTCAAACATAGTTTGTAACACAACATGTTTGAGATTATCTGAGTAACAGAACGTCTTTGTTTATCGGAAAATTTCGATAAAAACAGTGATTAGTTCCAAAAATTGTTATTTTTTGGTTGCGTTGTTACGTCACGTAGTATTTACTTCTAGTAGCAATTATAAGTGACTTTATTCGTAACTTTTGATTGGAAAACAAAAGAGATCATGTCTACTTACTATTATTGATCATAAAATTTCTGTATTATGAAGTTTATTATAAGTTTTAAACGGCAATAGCAATGAAGGGACGACAAGCTGCTTGACGTAAAGCCGGAGGCGAACCAGCCCAAGGCTGAAAACCTCCTTAATAAAGAAAACCTAACCTAACCTGCTTGACGTAACATGTGGAATGGGTCTATTCCATAGTTTTACTCGTAAACATGGTACAAGTTAACATGGTTTAAAGTAGGCATGTTTGCATCAAAGTGTAGGTGAAATAATTTTGTATCCACTTATTTTACAAATCTAAAAATTATCAATTCTACGATGCACATATTCCGAAAAAAAAAAACATCTAGGTAGTATGTAGACCAACAATTTGTTTTTATTTTATTATTTACAGTTATCTAAACCAACGTCTTTCTTACCTTGGAATCATCTCCGTTTTCTTTGGAATTATTTAATTGGTTTGATGCAATCCCAGATTTATGTTGTTGTAGCTGTGAATAAAACATATTATGAGAATGTGAATAAGATGCAGAGGAAAGTTCACTGTTGATAATTTATGATAAACAATTTTTCTTTTTTTTACGAAGGAAGCACGAACAAGCCTTTGACTCCATTTCACAGTGTTGCTTTTTGCCGTTTTCGTGCGCTTTTTTAATAGCTTCTCAAACATTGAGTTTAGGGGTATAGTTTGTTCAAAGATGTTTTTGCATATGTTAAACCGCTTCTTTTGATGTAGACACCTAAAAGTGAGATCAAAACAATATTTTTTTATCTGCTTCAGATAGAGACTTAACGTCTTCAATAAAGTTGTAGCAAATGTAATTTTAAACAACTTTGCTGAACACCCATAATTTCTAGCTCTTATAAATTGCGAGATGTGTTGCATTTTTCGTGAAAGGCCCCTTTACATAATGTTTTTTTTAGTATAACTGATTTTCTAGACACCTTACAATTTTGGTTTCTTTTACAACTATATTTTGCAAGCTTTTGCTGAACATTAAAACTAATTATCTCTTGAAAAAAAAGTTATTCTTAAATAATCGATATTTTTAGGGGTATTTGCTCCTCAAATAACTATTTCCGGTGCAAATTGGCGCAGAAATCTAGGTAGGATTCTGAATCTTTACTTATGTTACTGCTGAAAATTTATAAAAACATGTGTCAGCACGCGACCTTTATGTGTTTTTTTGATAACTAAAAAACTCCTGCAAATGTCTAATTTTTGAATACATATTTTAATTTTAAGAGATAGCATGTTGCAATGGCCTCATAGCCTAGTCAGTAAAGGCACGGTATTACCAAGCCGGAGGCGGCGGCTGGTCCGGTCGTGGGAATCTTTCGGGTTGGAAATTTTCTCGACTTTCCTGCCACCTCGACTTCGGCTTGCCACACAATATACAAATTCATGCATTGGTATCGGCATTGAATGCTCTCAATTAATAACTGTGGAAGTGCATTTATAGAACACTAAGTTGAGAGCACGCAATAAGCTTATATGCACTAAGCAATAAGCTTGAAATGCAAATAAGTAGAAGAAAATGTTGCAATGTTCAACAAAAATATGTATTTTTGTACGGCAAACAACTTTGTAGAATATGTTAAATATATTGAAAATCTACGAAAAAAGTTACACTCAAAACAATTATTTGAAGGAGTGTTAAATTAAACTTTATCTTGAGTAAACAAATTTATGCGTTTTATTGATAGTAAGCTGTCAAATTCTATATATGGAAGAGGTGACCTGTTGCAAACCGTTAAAAATGGCGGAATCATCAACTTCAGGTATGCGTATGTGATTATTTCAAGAACCGGAATGCAAAGCAGTGACTTGAAATGATCTTTTTTTCTTGTGTTTGTGTGGTTTACATGTATGAATTTTTTAAGTGACACAGATGCGTCTTTTCAACTTTAGTACAGTGAGATTTTAAATATTAGTTTCTAGTCCTATCAGGCCTATTTTAAAGTATGACCACCTTGGTGGGATTGGTTTGAATGCATAGCAGTGATTTCCTTTGTTAAATTTATATGCTAATAATAATGGTTTGGTTGCCTCTTGTTCTTTACCATAGAATTTGATAAACTTGTTCTCTTCTCGCTTAGAATTGAAGGGCATGCCAATGGTGAAATTTAAAAATCGTTACGTTATCGAAGCGTACGCAATGAATTCCGATGTCTCTATAGTTGTTGCTTCTAAAATAAATAAAAACAACATGCTGGAAATCTTTGCATCTACTTAAAAAATAAAAATGGAATGCACATGGCCGCTCAAAGCAGAGGGTTTTAGGACATTGCTCCGAATACTTCAAAAAACCTTTCAAATGTTTTATCAGCTCCGAAAGATGTAAGTATCGGTCGAAGAGCAGTTCCTTTCAAAGATTGCAATGCAACGAAAAGGAAAAAAATCAGCTCGTATTAGAAATCGCTACCAATCGAATCAGATTTTTGGAAAAAATCAGAGTATTCTTCTTCAAATCATTGTTTTAAGTATAACTTTTTTCCTAGATTTTCAATATATTTAACAGATTCTACAAAGTTGTTTGCCGTACAAAAATACATATTTTTATTGAACATTGCAACATGCTATCTCTTAAAATTGAAATATGTATTCAAAAATTAGACATTTACAGGAGTTTTTTTGTTATCAAAAAACACATAAAAGATCGCGTGCTGACACATGTTTTTATAACTTTTCAGCAGTAAAATAAGTAAAGATTCAGAATCCTACCTAGATGTCTGCGCCAATTTGCAATAGTTATTTGAGGAGCAAATACCCCTAAAAATATCGATAATTTAAGAATAACTTTTTTGTTTCAAGAGATAATTAGTTACAATGTTCAGCAAAAGCATAACTTGTTAAATATAGTTGTAAAAGAAACCAAAATTGTAGAATGTCTAGAAAATCAGTTATACTAAAAAACATGATTTAAAGGGGCTTTTCACGAAAAATAATACATATCTCGCAATTTATAAGAGCTAGAAATTATGGGTGTTGAGCAAAGTTGCTTTATTGAAGACGTTTTTTATTGGTTCATCTGAATCAGATAATTTTTTTTATAGCCTAACATATGCAAAAACATTTTTGAACAAACTATACCCCTAAAATCAATGTTTGAGAAGCTATTAAAAAAGCGCACGAAAATGGCAAAAAGCAACACTGTGCATTTGAATGGTATAGGTTCCTAGTTGACGTAATAAAAGGTAAATATTTGACACTAGGCAGGAACAGTGAGGCAAAGAGTCTTGAACATTGAGACAAATGTTTGAATATGGTTCAAATCATAACATTATTCAGAGTTGATTGGAAATGCTATCTACTGCGTTTGACTAGTACTGTCGCATTAATGGCCTTTCGCTCAACTTCACTTAGGTATGAAGTAACATAAAAAACACTTTGAACATAGCATTATTGTTCGACCACACTTTAAATGATATTTGAGAGGTCGTGTGGTTTATCGAGTATGGAAGCGATCATAAATTACGTCATTGTCGTTCCCTATAAATATAAAGAATACTTTTTACCCTTCTTGCAAAAAACTGTTCACTGTTCCCCACAGGTATTTTTTTATTTAAAAAATAGCAAAAAAGTGGTATTAAACAAACAATTTTATGTTCATCACTTACTCTTCTTCTTCTTCGCATTTCAAGCATATTAGCTTATTGCGTGCTCTCAACTTAGTGTTCTAGATGCATTTTCACAGTTATTAATTGAAAGCTTATATATATATATATATATATATACAGCAATTCCATAGAAAAAAGTTATAGTGGGTCTCAGAATTTCATGAAAATTGGTATAGTTCTTCCTTATCAAAAAATATTAGACTCGTATTTTTTTATTGCGCCATTAGGGTGACCATTTCCGTGTTAGGGTGGTCCAAAAAATCATTTTTTTTCAAAAATGTCTTTTTTCAAAAATTTATAACTTCTGAACCTCTTGACTGATTTTTACGATTGACCCTTCAAATGAAAGATGTTTTAATGTAGTTTTAAGCAAAATTATGAAACACTCAGAGATATTTGATTTTGTAGGAAAAAAAAATATGTTACAAATGCTTTTTCTTGATTTTCACTGCGAGGGTCTTCAACAACTTCTTATTTTAGTATTTTTAATTGAAAGATCATTTAATTTTACATAACATATCAAAAAATTAGCGATGTCAATTTTTTTAAAATAAAAAATTATTGTTCCGCAATATATGCACCACACGTGCATGGAAACGATGAAGACGCAAGGTAGTTCACAATGCGTCTCCATCGAGTCACAGCAGCTGTGACTAATGAAATCTATGAGTAACTTACAAGCTGGGTGCAACATTCAGTTCAACCTGCGGGCCGTCCATAAACCACGTAGACCAAGTTTTAAACATTGCAGATCCTACCTTTTCCTTCGTATACTCAAATTTTAAAGCGTTTCGTTTCAATACTCCTCCCATAGGGCCTTTTCCATGACAAGTTGCGAAAAAATGCCACACGGCAGCAATGCCAAAATTTTTTGCATGTTGCATCAGTACCTAAGAGTCCAAGCTGTACCTCATAGGTATATCACTCGTTCGTAGGCAATGACTTTTACATAAGCTCCAGCCCAATAGGCTTCGCGGTGTTAGTGACATTTGGAAATATTTAGTGGTGTTTGTATTTGTTCGCAATATTCATCTATTTACCTGAAACAGCTGTTTGAAGTGACGTCATTGCTTACGAACAGGTGATATACCTATGAGTTACAGCTTAGACTCGTAGGTATATCACTCGTAGGTACGATATAATGCTTCACATAAAACAACGAATGTTATGAAAGAAATGATCAGTTAGAAATCAAAGTTTCCTACTAGAACAGTTGAATTGAAGAATATCTAAAAATGAAACGTAAGTGTTCAATGTGTGATGTTTGGATGTTGAGTTCATGTGCCAGAAAAATCACCAATAAATTGTACGATTATGCAGTGGAAAAAAAGATTAAAATAGATGAGAGTAGCTCCTTCATTTGTCAACGATGCTACCACAAACTATATGAACCCAATGATGCCGTGACCGAAGAAGCCGTTGCAGGACCATCCAGAATCGCTGCTGCAGGTACGTTATTTGAAAATTCATGTGATTCTTCTTTAAATTTCAATTCTTTTCTTCTAACTACTAAGTTAAACTCTTCTTTTTTGCAATCATTTTTCAGAGTCCATCGAAGCAACCAGCATTGAATCAATTTCCGTTGCGGGACCGTCCAGAATGGTTCCTTTTCCCTGCCAAGGTAAATAATAAAAAATAAATCATTTGTATGTTTTTTCTAATAATCAATCATTTTTTATATTTATTTTCAGAATCAGTGGAAACAACCAGTTCTGAATCGATCGTTACCACCTACAACGCACCTTTGTCGGACGAAAATGAATTCCTTGTACAACTTAAGGATAAATATAAAGAAACAAGAGACAGCAATGAGCGATACAGGATTTTAACCACACTTCCCAAAAGTTGGTCTACATATAGAATTATGAAGGAGTTCAATGTTTCCCAACATATGGCCAACCAAGCAAAAGCACTGCAGCAAGAGAAAGGAATAATGTCGGTGCCTGTAAAGAGGTTAAGCAGAGCT